CACATAAGAATGGTAATGGAATTCTTGTAAAAAGTCAATGAACCGAGCAGATCGGCGTAAAAGTCTTGGTTGACATTTGAGGAATGCTTCGTATAGATGAAGGTAAGCTCAAAATGGCCTTTCAAAAAGCAGGGTTTCTGTAGTGGTTTTGTCCAACAACGCCTATTGATATGGAAGCAATGTTTGAAGTGAGATCAGAACAGCCGATATTTCAAAAAAGCAACAAAGCCATTTCAAATTCTGGCAGATGCAAAAACTGTCAGGCAAAGTTTGCTCATTTGGTTTTGCGACTCTCTTGTTTTGATTCTTTGTGAGCTTTCTACCGTTCCGGTGCTCATAAACTCAAAACGGTAAACATGTGGCACCCTTTGTGGTGACGTCATCGCTGCACATAGCCACATGTTTACACTTGATGGGGGGCCCTGCGAATTACTATAGTAGATGATGTTATGTGCCTCAACAGGCGAACACTGGAGTTCGCGCGCGTCAAACCGCGCCGTCGCTAATTGCCGCACGCGCGACGTCGCCCAAGCGATGCTATTTGTAACTGCATACATGACTAGTTCTCAATGTATATGTAACGATATGGCACCAAACTTTGTATGCGAACGGAGAGAGGCTAGTGGAAACATAGTATGAAAAGTTATGAAAAACTCATGTGAACGGAACGAGTAATTGGCATTTTTTCCGAGAATTTCGCAAAACTGGTAAATGAAGATGTGAATTCAAACGGCTCGTTTGGAACGCGCAGATGAACGATATGGTATGAAACTTGGTAAGTACATGCACATGGGCTTGCAGGGCTTAACTGAGGAGTTTCATTAAAAAATTATGTGACTGAAGGTTGTGGCAAACTTTTTTCTGAAAATTTTGCGCTACCAAAGAAATGGAAAAATGGCTCGTTTGCAACGCAGAGGTGACGAAATCGCGCGAGATTTAGTGTGTATATGCGCAGTAGGACTAAGTAATAAAGTATGAAATATTATGAAAAACTTATGTGAATGAAGAGCGTGCTTAACTAATTTCCAAATTAGGTCGGCATTTGCCGACCTAATTCCCACCTGAGGTCGGCAAAACTCTCAATTCACATAATTTTTTCAAAATTTTTACATAAATCTGTTGTACACCTAAAGTTTACTACATGGTGAAATTTTGGTTCCGAAACTCCTCCTCTTGTCCTTGTTAGAGCCCAAAATCGCATCAGCAGCCTAGCTTTCTAAGATGGAAAGCGCGCCCCAGTCAATCGATACGCGCGGGAACGGCGTCTCTCATTCCTATGACTGCGTTTCTTTGATATTTTCTCATTCCTTAATCATTTTTCTTGCTTATTTCTCTTCCTGTTTTCTATTTTGATACAGCTGAGGAATAATTTGAGGAATTTGAGCAATTTGGGCGCTTTTGAGCGCTTTTAGGCGAAGTGTGGCTGGTAATCTCGTCGCACAAGCACGAAACGTCATTTTCGGGCTCAAGGGTGTATTCGTAAAATTTATTGGGATCAAAGGGGAATTCGTTTTGGAAAAACCCGTTTGCCCACCTCGTGCCGGGCCCTGACCGCAGCATCCCTCTCAGCATAACCTGCTAAGAAAACTTACGCTGCACAAAGAGCACTATTTTCGTAATCAGCTAGTCCGAAAACCCCTATAGACGAAGTTTCCCGTCAATCCAAGATCATCAATATTTTAGCCAAAACCCGTCGGCGAGCTTCACAGCCTAGAACGAGAAAAAATCAAAGGGCCCAAACTTCTTGAAAAACTTGCGCATAGAGGTTATCCGGCCTGCTGATCATGAAAAACACACCTGCTCTGCAAAGTAGCGTCTTACTGTATGGTTACGGCAGCTAAGATTTGAGGAACATCAATTTTTTCAAAATTCACCGGCCTTTCTTTCCCTAGGGAAAGGGGATCCTTTGCCTTTCCCCAGTACATGATAATCTACGGGAACAGCTCTACCGAAATATGTTTATGGTCGTCTCCACGATTCGTGTAGAGGTGTAATGCAGACTTTTCCTGATAACACAGATAAACTTGTTAAACCTCCACGTCATAGCATTGTTTTTTGTACTCTCTCGCTATCAAAAACCGCCACGCTTTGAGTTAGCGAAACCCCGCCTCTACACGAATCGTGGAGCCGATGATACTTGAATCTTCCATATGTGTTCTTCGATGAGTTACACCACTACAAAAACTCGTCCTCACGCAAAAATCGAGCATACTGAAAACGAATAGTAAAAGAGTGCAGTATATCATGAGATTGATCTTGACGAGCTGAACATCATGCTTTCTTCAAACTTGTATTTTATGTAACCTGAAAGAAGTTATGAAAAAAGAAAAAAAAACGCGGATTGTCAGTTTTTGCGTTTTCTGTCGAATAATTAATGTGGGTACTGTAGTTCGATGTGACAGTGCTGAAGAATTTTGTAAAGTAGCGATGAACCACAGCTGCGAGTGGGGTCCGAACATATGATTAATCCAAGACTTCTTATTCCTATAAGGAACACATGAAGTCTTGAAGGTCCATCACTTTTCCCGACGATGCTGAGCTTATGAACATAAGTATAACAATCGTGAAGGGAAGTATTAAGTTGTTGCAAAAATAATGCCGGATTTTCCAAGCCTTTCTTCAGGGCAACTTTTTTCCATCAAAATTTCTTCTTTAGAATATATGTAGCACATTGAGAAGTTGTTTTCATGCTCTATATAATGGTTGCTAACGCGGGTTTCCAATCTCACCTATAAGTTACTAAGCTTCAAACAACCACATCCAAGTTCAGAATTCTGCATTCATTTTTTTTGGCTAGAGTTCGAGCGCGGATGACACATCGTCGAAAATTTAGCTAAGGTATGTAATAGAACATGGCCCGCAGTAAGCTGCCTCATTCGATCTCAAGTGAGGAAAGCTTCAGCTGAGGCATCGACGAGTCAGCTCTGCTTCAGTTGAGTTGAAGTTGAGCCATCGATTGATAATTTCAACCATCGTTTATATGATTGAGTGCGCCACGTTCATGCAAGTCAAGACCCGTTCGCCGAACATTCACATCTTTGTGACTGTACTAGCGGCGGAGATGTGGCCGCACTTGTCAGATCTTGTTAAAACGTCAGCCTGCACTGTAGCTCCTCACTCAGTATCGTCTGCGCCCCAGAGGGTTCCAATAGGTACCACTTCATCTCGCTGCCTTTCGCACTTTTGGACGTGTTAACCTCGGGCGCTTCCGTTGAAATCACAGGAGAAACGTGTCAAAAAGAGCGAAAGGCAGCGTCGCACCACGTACGCACGCTGGTTCACACGGGATCCTCTCTGGGGCGCAGACGGTATGTTTTTCAACCAAAGTGTATCGTAAGTTACCCAGGACTAACGAAAACTCCCTCTGGAGAGGGGAAGGGATCTGAGAGGTGATGCGTCATATCTCGCTGCTCCACGTATCTTTCTTCTTCTTTCTCTATCGTGCTTATGAAGGTTCCCATACACTTATACCTGCGCACAACGGATGCCAGGTTACTTCCATACAAGATTGGTTTTTTGCCATTCTATGTGATCCCTTGGGGATCCCCTGAGGATCCTCAGGGTTTCACCTCACATTTTCAAAGTCATTTATCTTTCTGAGAAGTTAACGAAAATACTGCAAAATTGTACTGAGGATATACTATGGCTCTGCTAAACAGGGAAGGTATATGACTCGCAGTGAAGTTTCCCTTTAAGATGTATATCATTCAAAAGGTCTTCAGATGGTGATTCAAAAGAAACTTCCTTATCTGCTTATCGGTTTACTGTACAAAGTTACAGGCATTTGTTTTGCCTCAAATGACACTGATTTTGGTTGCTTTTTGCAGTACTGAAGCGGCAGAATAGCCCCAAAACTATTCAGATCAATTTTTTATGTACAATGAAAATAGCTCAGACATTAGGTGTAACTTTGGCTTAAATTCGCAATTATGACGCTATAGAGCACATACACAGTACCTACTATGCCAACTGGGAGCGGAAAATTGCCTTTAACTTTGTTCAGTAAACCGATAAGCACACAAGGAAGTTGTTTTGAAATCACCACTCAAAGGCCTTTCGAATGATATGCATCTCATAATGAAACTTCACTTCGAGTCATATAGATACATTCCCTTGTAAGCATGTTTTCGACAGAAGAAATGGAATCTGAAGATTGTGAATATTTCGATAATCCCTAGCTCGCGAGGAGTAGTTCATCGAAGATTTCAATATCCTGTGGTTTCACTTATCTCTACTACAAACCTTAGCAGTGTCGTAGTACATCCTCAGTACAATTTTGCAGTATTCTCGTTTTCGTTGATTTCTCAGGAAGATAAATGACTTGAAAATGAGAGCTGATCGATCACACAAAATGGCTAAAGACCAATCTTAGGGCCGCATGCACTAACATCCCTGCGGCGAGGGGAGCGGCGTCCCCATTGATGAAAAAGCCGCAGCGGCGTCCGCACGCGGTTCCTTCATAACAGGGGACGCCGCTCCCCTCGCCGCAAAAATGTTAGTGCATACGGGCCTTAGATGGCAGTGACCTGGCATCCATTATGCGTAGGTATAAGGGTACGAGAACCTTTATAAGCAAGATAGAGAGGGAAGAAGAAAGATACCTAAAGCAACGAGATATGACGGGCCCAGCGGGGATGTACGTGCATATGGGCCTAAATCTCCTCGTTACCACACTATTTCGGGAAATCATCGCTCTGATCATCTCCCGTGACTCGGCAGCGAGATAATCTCCTTGCCGAACGTGACCTGAGGCTCACTTGCCGGGTGACGTTGCCTTTTCATAGCATGGGGAAGTCGTCATTTCACCTGACGGAACCTCACATGAGGGCTTCAGGGAAGGTCATCTCCAGGGTTGAGCGTGGGGTCAGGCGCGCCTGACCTGGGGGGTCGTATTAGGGGTGGAACCGGGGGGGGGTCGTATTTGGGGGTAGGACCATAATCGTCCAAAAGTATATGAAATGCAAAATGCAATTGTAGCAAAATTACACCACTATATCATTATGCATCCGGAAATTGTGGAAATGGAAAAGGACGCATTTGTTGTACGGTTGGATGACATTCGCGATCGACTGCAGCGCTCTCATATCATCAGTCTATCGACAATGATAGATATCTTGGACGGCCAGCAACCTGAGGCAGTGCCTATATATCGCATGAGAGCCTATATCTACGAAGCTCTCACTGTTGCGGAAGCGGGCCTAAACGGTACTACAGGAAGACCATTGCAGTCCTTTCGCGCAATGCAATTGCACGAAAGGTCCACAGCACAGATCGCCTGCTCTTGTGAAGATGCAGTGAGCAGGAGACAGTCGCAGAACACTATAGCGAATTCGGTGGCTTGATGCACCCCACACTCCCTCTTATTTGGATAGACGAAGGAGTTAAGAACATGAAGTACTTTCCCATGGAACAAATCTTTTTGCAGTTCCCGCTGCCAGAAGAAGCACATTCACGGCATAATCCGTGGGAAAGGCTCCTACCAGAGCCAGAATACATACCATTTCATCGCGAGCAGCTGGATACTCCAAGTTCATCGGAAACTGAAAGCGATGAGATTGAAGAGGATGGGGAGGCAGGTGTGTGGTCAGACGAAAGCGACTAATTCATACAGGTTAGTAGAATAATTGCACACATTTTTGGACATGTGCGCAAAAATGTACTTCTTTAGGATCTGGAAGCATGGAAGCCATGCTCTCGAGGAGATTCTCCGATGCCGAGCAGGTATAAAAACGGCAGAGTTGGATTGGTCTGACAGCATTTACCCAACCTACCGTATACCTACCGTAACCCCACCAGGTCTCATACCAGCGAAGTGAAGGCTATTTTCGTAATCAGGATAATAAATAACCCTTTGTGGACCGTTTTTATAATATCCTATCACAATTTTCCATCTTCTCTAATGCATGGAAGGCGCTATTTTCAAGCATGATTAACTTGTTTTCAACGATCACAAAAGTCAACCTTTTTACACTTATTACAAAGTATTACTCTTCACTAATATACTCTAACAATTTCGTCTCAAACCAAGCTAAAGTAATGCTTTTATAAGCCCCATAAAAATTTCGACAATGGCGTTTTTCACCTCGACTGGATTTACTGCATGAGCTCCTAGAAAGCCAAAACAAGACGAATCTACTTCACATACCTACTATCACATTTACGATGCTTGTGCTAACTAATCATATCAGACTTCTTCGAAAAAGTCGCCTTTGAGATGAAGTTAATGGGGTCAGGCGCAACCCCTCAAAAGCTCAGGCCGCCTGAGCTTTTGAGGGGTTGCGCCTGACCCCATTAACTTATCTTCAAAGAACTCAAAACTTTCCATTTTCACACTCAAACTGTTGAATGATCCTTCCTCTCCCCGCATCCAAGATTTCATCCAGTTTCATCATCTCTCGAAGAAGTTGTCAATGGTTGATTCCACCCATCCACCGAAGGGAATCGTCGCTTTTTGCTCCATTAATTTCGTCTTACTGTAATACGCATCACGTGCAGTGTTTCTGCACGGAATTGCGAAACGCGCCAAAATCCATTTTTCGACCCGGTCGTTCCATTGTTCCGTCCCTGCCGCCAGCTGTCACCAAGGTGAAGTTTTTTTCTTGTTTCTTTTCTATTTTACTTCTTCTAGGCATGGAGGAAAACGGGTACGAAGCCGCACCGGTTCAAATTGCGCTCATACGAATATACGAGCTGTTGAGGTTGTTCCAATGGTAAGTGGTTGGAATAGGTTTTTGGTGCCCAAAAGTTATGGAAATTGACTTTGAGGTGTACTATACTATTGTACAGCTGTAATGTTTCAATGGCTTGTGAATAATTGTGAAAGTTTCAATTTTTTGATAATGTTCAGATGCTGCTTCATTCTTTCAAGTTTCGAATTTTTAGGCTGATCATTGACAGAATCGTACGTGGTGACTTTTCATTCTACGCTGCATCTGGAAGAGCACTTTCATACTTCCTTTATGCGTCCTGGAAGTTGTCCGAAACACTGGAGGAATGGTTCTCTTGCGAAATTCTACATCGTATTATCATCCAGCAAAGCTAAAGATTCTAACAAATCAGCTGGAATTATGAAATTTTTATCGTATGTCTCATGTTATTTGTTACATTGCTTCTTGATTGTTATTGTTGATGAAGTTTCATTTTTTTTGTTCCTTATACCAATGAAAGAGGTCTTCTCTCCAATATATGCAACAAATGCTTTTGCTGCCGAGAATTCGTTTTAACATTATGTTTAGAAGTCTACAGTGCATGAAAGACTTCGATGATACGGTGCTTGTCATGGCCGGGCTCTCCAAGCCCTTCGCCTGCCACTACACCGGCTACTTTGAATGGATCACCGCGTAAAGGTGAGCGTATTTTTGGCTATCTGATAAAATAATGGTTTCTAAAGCGATTATGATTACTCAGCTTCTTTATTTCTTTTCCGAGAGTGGCATGGGTTCTTGTTATAGAGGTGGTCCCGGAGAGTTGGAGTGTCGCATACGCATCTGATGCAACTGAATGGGAACGTAAATTTGACGAGTGTTGGGATGATGCAGAAAATTCTGGATAAAAAGGATTGCAGTCCCGAACACGATATCACCTACAATGAGGTGAGTTTTTTGTCCACTTCCCTCACGCTCACTTGCATACTGGAAAATCATAGTCGCCTGTTTGCACACAGCATATGCTTGAAAAAAGTGCTAGTTTCTTTTGGTGCAAGTGATATAGTTTTTATTTGCTTTATTTTTTTGGGGAGAACATAGGAATATTCTTAGACTTTCCCTCTTTTATCAGATTTTTAGATGACCCAGCTGATAGCTCGACTCGACTAGCTAGCTAAACTGGCACATACGAGTCATCTAAAAAGCTATTCTAGCTTTTTAGATGACTCGTATGTGCCAGCTTCTTATGATGGAAGTTACACATGTGGGTGTACTTATAATACTGTACATATACTTTTGTCATTTGCGTGGATGCTTTCAAGCACGAAGCTCCCTTTAAATTGCCTGGGAATGGTCTGGGCATGTGCTGTTATTCTCCGTGAATGATTCGAGCAAGAAATGAATGTGGAGAAAGCTGGAGAAATTCACACTTTTGCTGATATCTATTCTGGAAGGGGTCTTATACGCCATTGCATTCGTAACCCAACCAATGCTTACGTTTCCATTAAAAAATCTTTTTTGAAGTTTTATAGAAATTACTTTATGATCTTGATGATTTCTAGACTCTTTGACGTCGATTCGTCGCAATTCTTCTAACAGCAGTGAGGATGTCAAACCGCCTCCAGAGCTTATACCATTTCCGTACGAAAAACATTGCCCGATGTTTTGTGACCTGCTTGGAAAGAACGCTGACGATTTTCATCTCGAGAAGGATGATCTGGTGAGTTACGTATCTGTTTTCATCCCTTTTTCTTCCAATACTTTCTGAAGTTTGGTTTTTATCAACTCTTACCATCTCATTATCAACATCACACAATGTGCGGTTGTTACCTTCGGTGTACTGGTAGCAGCTAGCTAAGACGAAACAGCTAAGTTTGTAGGCAGACTGATTAAAAACTCCTACTGCTATTTACAGTTGCCTTGGTGATGCAGATTTAGTGTTAGCGCTTCTAGTGAATCAGTGGGAGCTAGCAAACGCCGTTGAAATTTTTTTTGGGATTTCTAAGTGATGAATTACCTGGTTTGCTCGCACCTCTACCGCAATCCTATCTGGCTTGGTAGAGTTGCATATGGGAAGACAAGGGTAACTCGCAAACCATTGTCATTCTTTATTTGAGTAGGTTTATCAGCTCCAGAATTTTTTTGGCGCGGATTTAGCTAGCCTGGTGATTGGATTTGACCTTAAGCAGAATTCGGGCATTGGATGGTCTACTTGAAAGTGGATAGCGATGTTAGGCTAATCTAATGGGATCGTTACGTCTAGAGACATTTTGATCTTTCTGTTCCTCCACAGTGTCCATGACTTTCCTAGCAAGCTAGGAGATGACTACGTTTTTCCATAGTGCGCTACGAGAGCTTAGTGTAATTCTTTCACAGCTAAATGCTTCAGAGGCAGGCTCTTTGTTCTCTTAGCACATAATCCGTTGTAGACTTCAAGTTCAATAGAAAATACTTAACACTGATGCCCTACATGTCATGCAGTGCATAAGTATGAGCAAATGAATGTATACACAATTGTTGTTGGACAATCAGATTTGTACTTTTGGTAAGTAAAGTTCACCGTTCACATATACATATACACGCAGTTCGTTGTGATAATCGGTTGATGATTGACGGTTGACACTTGTTGATTAGTCTCTTTTGAGGCTTGCCGACTCTCCACGTGATGGATCTTTTACCCCAATCACTTCGTTCTTACGAGGACGTCCGTTTGGTAGCTCAGGAAGGAGATCGCACGGCATCAGGTTTGGACTTGCTTTTGGTGTTTCAAACCCACAAACATTGTCAATCCGTGCACGATCTTGGGTAACTCTCTGAATTAGAGCGCGCAAAGCTAATCCCTCTTTTTATCGAGAAATCACTAAAAAATCAAGAATACCATGTACGAACTATGCTCAAATGTTTTTGGAAGTTTTTCTAGTTTGTGGAAATTAGATTTCTCACGCACGTTACAATGAACCTTTACACCTACTTGATGCATTGAATGCTCCATTAATTGCTCTTATCTTTTTTTTTATTCACATAGCTACAGTTGGTGTCAATCACGTCCTCCCTTTTCCATAGGAGCAACGTGTCCGCAACGCGAGAGCCAGGCGTGCAGACCTTCAACGATGAGGCCAGTTCGATTGCTCAGGTTGAACGCGCGCGACCGTGGCGCACAGCTCTAACGTAGCGACAGTGCCGACGAAGAAAGGAGTACGTGATTGACACCATAGTCTTTGATATTACAAATGTTACAAATATTACAATTTTCAGTTTTTCCTGGGATATATCGCCTGTCGTGTCCTATCGAACAAAAAAGCAAGCGGGGGAGGCGAGGGAGGGAGGGCGGGCCTCCCTTATTTTGAGAGAAACATGCTCGAGTACGAGCCTTCGCGCACTCAGACCCTCCGCTCGGGGGGTCTGAGCGGCCAGAGCCTCACCATCCGTTAATGTTTGTTTTTGTCAATGTTGTGTTGACTATAAAGTTATTTTGTTAATGGTTTTTTGTTTATCAATAAAGATCTGTTGTGTTTGTGTTTTTGATCTTGTTTGCTAACGATAACAAAGGCGAGAGCTGAAAGGTGGGGAGGGGGGGGGGGGGTCGTATCTAACACGACCATGGAGGGGGGGGGGTCGTTTTCGGGCGGGCTGCGCCTGACCTCTTGCTCAACCCTGGTCATCTCCCTTGATCGAGGTCTGTTACGGGCCTATGTCTACATTGCGTATACTTAATTGTATGAGGTTATCCAAACGGGTAGCCGTTGCTCATGTTATGATGCATAAATTTCTTTTAAGGACTCAAAGGCTGCTGCATGACGAATGGCAGAAGCAGTATTAGTCATGCAGCTTCGAACGCGGCGCGCATATCTTCACCGTTGTAAATCGTGCTTTCATGCGCTCTGCGGCTAATAAAGCCGCGATCGCGCCCAAAGGTATTGCGCCTTCGTCATGCAGCAGCCTTTAATCGCAAAGCTTTGCTCAGTTCTGTAAACGTAATGCTGGGGCATCCTATTAGCAGTCTATGCAAAAATATCCAGCTGTTTATACACAGTACACAGTAAATCAAAAAATTCCATTTCCGGGACTTTGACGCCTACTGAAGAAAGTTGGAAGAACTGACAATTTTAAATTTCAATTTTTTTCCTTGCCGCAAATCTTTTCTCCAACCCCTTTTCATCGTATATTGTACTGTTGGCCTGCGGCTGCTATCATTCATACTAGCAAACTTTGAAGGAAGTTATGAACTGCCAAAAACAACGTTTTAGAAAAAAATCTTTTTGTTTGTTAATCCATTTGTTTCTGCGATGCGCTACATTGCAAAAGGTTTGCTGCTTCTAAAAGTTCTTACCGCATTCAGAAATGTGAATTTTTCAAAAGTCAGAGCACGTCAAAGTGGTCATTCGCAAAGTGGCCATTCTTTTTGCATAAACCTATTAGAATGTAGGAATGGTTGCCCAAATGCCGCGCAGGCACCGTCAAATGCATGCATCTCGGAATCTTTCTCCTGCCAATAGGAAGGGTCTTGATCTTCAGGTAGCGGTTGCTCGCGCAACTGGTGCGCGATTAAACATGAGATTTTGGAAGCAAGAAAATTAATTGCTTAAAGAGTCTTCAGAGCATGCAGTCGGTTTTTCTTGCGAAGCGGAGGCGAACGCGGTGTTTGAGAATCTTTCATCATTGAAGCTCGTACGTTAGCGCAAGTCTCGTTTTCATTGGCGGCCTTTTAGGATTAGCCTATAGATACTGACTGACCTGTCTTCACTGTCGTGCAGTCCCACCACAGAAATTCCTTTTTTCCTTCGCTAGCTTGCGACGTCCACTCTTTGGTGACTTCGCTTTTTGGCTGCATCTGCGAGTTACAGTTCTGAAAATCGTATCCAGCAGATCAGCTTTTACATCCATTTTCGGAACAGATCTCCTAGCTCACTGGTGGCGTTTTGCGTCGCGAGGTATCCGCCCTCCTGTTCTTAATGTTTACCTGTCGTCTTCTCTTCACACGAGTGATTTGCCCATCGGTGTTTTGCTTCGCTAGGTATCCTACCGTATCACGAAAAGGGACATTCTCAGATCTGTACTGCGGACTCCGACAAGATGCCTCAAATCGGATAATCAGAGACTCTGCTCAAGCTCTCTGGGGTGTTTTGTAGAGCTTTCGACGTGGCTGCGGGAACGTCCAGATCCTGTTGAGTTCTTCCATGAATTTGTTCTATATGTTCATCGAACGTGTCAGATACACGCAAGGCCTCGCGCAGGTCGCCGATTACGCGCCTCCCGATTCATCCGACAAAATAGCTATTACGAGTCCATTGCATGTCGATCACTTTGCATTTCGTTGTGATAGTCAGTCACGATTAGTCATGCCGGAAAAAACTGAAACAGTCGGAATACACGAGGATCGGCATGCACTGGTCGCTAACAGTTGCCTTGTTGAGAAATCGCGAGGCGATGTGTTTGCGCCTGCTATGCTGTGCTCGAGGCTCAAAAGAAATTCTTCGAATTCCTTAATTTTCTATACAGGGCTTAAAAAATGCAGTGTCGGGTGCACCAGCATCTCCACTCCCGCGATGGACTCCGCCTCTCTTCCGCAAACATGCGCTTTAAACATCTTCAATCGATTGAGGCTCCGCCTTTCCCAAGCTCCCCTTGGGGAAGTGCTTAGAGAGATGTTCGCGAAAGAGGCAGGGCCCGGCACGAGATGGGCAAATGGACTTTTCCAAACAAATTCCCCTCCGATCCCAAAATTTTTTACGAGTACCCCTTTGAGCCCAAAAACGATGCTTTGTGCTTATGCAACGAGAGCACCGGCCACACTGCCTAAAAGCGCTCCTTATGCAACGAGAGCACCGGCCACACTGCCTAAAAGCGCTCAAAAGCGCGCAAAACGCTCAAATTCTTCTAATTATTCCTTACCTTCATCAAGATAGCAAATAGGATAAAGAATAAGCAAGAAAAATGAAGAAGGAATGAAGAAATATCAAAGTAACGCAGTTATATTACCGAGAGATGCCGTTTCCGCGTATCGATTGACTGGAGCGCGCTTTCCTCCTTGGAAAGCTGGGCTGCTGATGCGAATTTGGGCTCTAACAAAGACAAGAGGAGAAGTTTCGGAACCAAAATCTTACCATATAATCATGTGAAAATTTTGAAAAACTTATGCGAATTGAAAGCAGGGTCAAGCGTGTTGATGTCCTAGACCCTCTTCTACAACCCCACCCCCCTGAAGGTACCTATCCGTACGACCCCCTCCTCACCTAATCCCCCCCTCCCACCTACCTCTCCCACTTTCTTTTGCGGTAACCTGCATAAATGAATGTCATTCTCAAAAGGTGCCTGCCAATGGACCTCAATCAAAATTATAGATCACAAATAGATAACTATTTACAAATTGGGAAATAATGCAGGTAATGCTTCCCCATTCGAAAACCAACTTACAAATAATTCTGCGTAGATTGGGTAAGTAGTATCCACGAAGATTTGGCTATGTTTTTTGTGATTGGGAAAATATGAATGGAAAGGACATTATTTGACAAAACAGAACATCGATTCCAATCTGAATAATAATTAAGCTTTACTTTAAGATTTATCATTGACGGTCAACTGGTAAAGATATGGGATTTTGTCGAGTGTGTGAGGCTTTAGTGGGGCTTCGGAAGCAGAATTTCTGAGCCAAGGGGTACGTGCAACATCTCTGGCACGCATACACACCTTCAATAATGTTTGGGTTTCTGCAAGTTTTTTTTGAATTTTCAAGCATACTTTTGGCCAGCGAATTCGGTCCCTGTACGCGACACCATTATTTAAATAAAGAAAAAACGATATGTTTGAAGCGTAAAATATGTTTTGCGACTAAAAGGCTTACTTTCTACCTTTTGCACAGATTTTTGTGCGAAAAAAAAACTGTTTAGCGCCATCCAGAACGATGTCAAAAACGTGCATGAGCACGGTATTTTGAAAATTCGTAACTAAAGGCAGGGGAAGACTAAGAGGCTGCAATGAACAGGCTTTGTAGAGAGGTGCCCATGCTATCCATGGAAAAAGTTTCAGCCATTGAGGAGCAGTAAGCTCGAAAAAATCTAGATGCGACTCTCGCAAATTTAGATGAGATAATAAAAGCAAGAAGTGGGATTTTTGAGAAATTTTGTATCTCACCGGAGAAGTTATGATAAAAAATAGAGGGATGGCTTCGTACTACAGCTAGTTTGCAGCTAACAAGCTTCAATAGTTGCGAAGAAATTTAGATGAGCGCAAATACGATCTCCCTTTTGTGAATGCGATGACATGGTATTAGGTAACAGTGAGATGTAGGGCTCTGCAGGATCGCGCGAGAGTCGGTGAGTTTGCGGCTATTGCGCAAGCAGGATGCTACAAGGCTTCAAACCACTCAAACAATCCTGTACTTTTCGGAATCGCCTCAAATGATTGGAAGCTTACATCTGATACCAGAAAAACGTCTAAAAGGAGAAAGAAAACCGAGAAAGCTTAATGCGCGAGCAATGGCCGTAACCTCACCGACTCTCGCGATCCTGCAGGCCCCTATAGCTAGCATCAGATAGGCCCACCACTATGCAAACTAACATCGATGTTTTGGCCTACCATCCTATACGTAAGCAAGCATGATTAAAAAGCCCTAAAATAGGAGGCATCATTTTCATAATTGACATGTCTTAAGGGCCGGGCATACTTCACGCGACTTCAGTCGCGACGCGATTTGGCAATTCGCCAGAACTCTTCAGATGCAAAACTAGCAAACTGCACATGCATGGTGTATATAACTTAAGTGGGTCAATGAAATACGCTATCTTCTGTACATTCAAATTGTGCTTACAATGAGTTACGGACAGTTGGAATATTGCCAAATCGCGTCGCGACTGAAATCGCGTGAAGTATGCCCGGCCCCTTAGACCACCCATGTGAAATGGCCATTTTTGAACATTTTAACTTTGTTTCGAAGGTGAGTCAACTGCTTTTTTGCACTGAATACAAAGCACACTTTCTTGATCACATCAAGAATCTCACTCTGAATATCCTCCAAACTATGAATTAGAAAAAGCCAAAATCTTGTTTGTTCCATTTTCGCTTTCAATATCTCAGACTAGAGAAGATCAATCGGGCTCAAATCACTTTAGTGTAAATTACGAGGCTACTGCCGAATAAATACATCCTTGTCGCCTTCCCTCGCAATTCACGTAGTAACGTAGACTTAGCATGTTATCGTCCCAATATTTTCGCAGCATTTTCCATTTGCATAGGTAAGGAAAAACGATTATATCCAGGGTTGAGCAAGAGGCCAAGCACAAGTTCTTCAAAAACGATCCCCCCCCCCTGTGAAAGCCCCTAAAATGACCCCTCCGCTTCACCTCCAGGGTCCTAGATTGTGATATTTTGAAGAAGACAAGCCTTCACTGGAGGGTTCTTGTTTTTTGG